TCTACAAGTATCCATTATAGACATAGAGTAACATATTATGAGTGACAGTCAGTACAAGATGATCCCTGAAAGGGTGTTTGTGTGTGTGTGTGTGTGTGTGTGTGTTAGAAGTGTATTTGTACACTGTCTCCTGGCATGTTTCTTGAGTACCGTGTGTGTGTTTGTGTGTTAGTGTGTTTGTACACTGTCTCCTGGCATGTTTCTTGAGTACCGTGTGTGTGTGTGTTTGTGTGTTAGTGTGCTTGTACACTGTCTCCTGGCATGTTTCTTGAGTGCCGTGTGTGTGTTTGTGTGTTAGTGTGCTTGTACACTGTCTCCTGGCATATTTCTTTAGTACCGTGTGTGTGTTTGTGTGTTAGTGTGCTTGTACACTGTCTCCTGGCATGTTTCTTGAGTACCGTGTGTGTGTTTGTGTGTTAGTGTGTTTGTACACTGTCTCCTGGCATGTTTCTTGAGTACCGTGTGTGTGTTTGTGTGTTAGTATATTTGTACACTGTCTCCTGGCATATTTCTTGAGTACCGTGTGTGTGTTAGTGTGCTTGTACACTGTCTCCTGGCATATTTCGTCCCATTAAGCTATGTTTTAGCTGAATGAATGTTTTGCATTTGGTATATACATGTACTGTATTGGTAGATTTGGTGTATAAACAAATTTCATATCTACACTGATCAAAGTGTCAACGACAGACATGTCAAAGAAACTCATGGCTCTTTGTCGTTTGTCCTGCTCTCCACAGACATCCACACCTATTTCGCCTGAAACACCGACAGCCACCACAACAGCTCCAACCACAGAATTTGAGCAGACCACACGAGAGACAACATCTGTGCCCCCGTCCTCAACTGCACAAACTTCACAGTCCTTGAGCTCTCCTCTGCAAAGCAGAACAAGGCCTGACTTGTCAACCTCTCCGAAGACGACAACTGCTTCTTCAGACAACACAACTGCCACTGCAAAAGCTCAATCAACAGTAGTGCATGCATCAGAGCAAACTTCATCAATAACAACAGAATCACCTGCAACACCTGAAACTGTTGTCACTACTCCATCAACAAGCACATTGGAAACAACCACAAAACACACAGTAAGCAACTCTAAAAACACTTCCAATGGCAAAAAGGACCCAACTTCCTACAGTGCAGGTAGCAACGTCTAGCTGTGAAGAGCGCACAGTCCCTACTGACACAACAGTGCAGAATAGCACACAAGGATCACCTACATCAAGGTCCACCACAACCACACAGTCCAAAAAGACTCATCAGTCAAAGTCAAGTAAGGGATGGAAGTGGGCTTCCTGCAGTGCCATCAGGGTGGGAGACGTTTCTACCCAAAAAGCTCCGAAATAACATCTCTCCTGCTGATCAGGCATGGATTGCACAGTGTCTATATGACCACAATGGAAGGCTAAGAGAGACTCTGCCAAACCAAAATTGGTATCACCCCCCGAGTCCCCACGTGGCAATGAGTGTCCCCCCAGATCCTCACCAATACTTCCGGCAGAGGATGTTCTTATGGGCGCCAATGAGAATGTGGAGGATACCACTCAACTGCCCCAAGTGTCAACTACAGCTGTCTCATAGTGGGATATACACAAGGGCACGTGAGGTTGTAGACATTGACTCAAGATACTACCTGGTGAGCTTGGATTACCCAAGGTGCAACCACTGCAAGGTCCCATTTTGCCCTTGGAGCTCAGATATTCTGAATCAACTCGACCCGTACCACAGAAGTTTGTTTCCTGCTGTGCTGACGAAGTACCAAGCATTAGATAAGAAATGCATAACGCTGATGAAGCCACGCACGCAAGGGAACAGTTCCAGTCTCACTCAACAAGCGCTTGAAGAGGTTCACAGTGAGGAATGGGGTAGGAGGTGCCTGCAGTATCTCTCCGATTGTGAAATTCACAAGAAAGGCGCAAGACTGACAGGACTACCATGTGACACTGTGTACCAAGCACCACCTGCATACCGTCCTCTTCCACTGGCCCAATGGTTCGAGGCTGCCCATACAAACGAGATCTTCGGACACGAAGATGAGATGAGGGCTATTATCACCAGCACCTACGGACGAGTGTTGAAGCTAGACTCAACGAAAAAGGTTTGTGTTAACTACTATTTATCTTACTGTGGCAAGACGTCCATCAAGCCAGGGATGACCAAAACAGCAAACATTAAGCTTGTCAGAAAAAGAGCTAGTCCAATTGACGAAAAGAACTACATTAAATGATTAGTAATGCATACTGTTTAACATCTACATGACTCAAGTCAATATACAAATAACTTTAAGCTTACAGCTGCAATTTTGAGGTTACTGTGAGAGATCAGGGTCAGCATGTAAAACTGCATGGGTATTGCATTGATCTAGCAAGGCAAATATTGTGATTTTAAATGGGGAAAGGACTGTCATATTCCAAATGCATGTATTGAAATTCCTTGTGCAATGTTTTTCAGGTCACAAAGAAGTTGGCGGGAGATGTTGCCTGTTCGGCCTCATGGATGACCAACATCTCGAATGAGACCGGGGAAGTCCTAAACTCAGTCCTGACAACCGGTGAGGGGGCAGGGCTGCAGGAGGTCTGTCAAGGCATTGTCAGACGGTACAGCACTGCCAGTGAACCACCCCCCGATGTAATATATGTGGACCGTGACTGCTGCAGCCAGACAGGTATGTATAGATACATTATAGATAAATGACTCTGTGGCCTGTTTCATTTCAGAATCTGTATTCAAATACAAAAATTGTTTAAATGGGCTCTGCTTCCTTTCTTATACTTCAATTGGTGACAAATGTAGCTGCATTCTCAGCCACCTTGACTTAGCTAATATGAGCTAGCCTGTTTATCTTGATGGAAACAGGAGACAGCTTTAAGTTTGTCTTGGTGCTATGGTAGATTTTTTGTCATCTGGCAACTTGTGTTTGCCGTTACAGGTGACCCCCCTGTTCTGAAGTTGTTCCAGCCATGGAGATGCCATGTGAAGCTTGACATCTTCCACTTTCTCAGACGCTTTTCCAAGGGGCTCACAACCGAACATCATCCACTATATGGCACCTTTTGTTCGAAGCTCAGCAGCTGCCTGTTTGTATGGGACAAAGGTGATTACGAGCAGCTAAGGGAGGCCAAGAGAGGGGAGCTACGGAACAAGAACGCGGGTCAGCGCCCAAGCGAGAAACAAGTGACAGCAGCAATCACAGCAAATGAGCTGGCGAGGCACTGTCGGAGGATGACGCGGCCAGTGGAACACATCCGGCAGCTGATCAACCAACTTCTGAAGGAGATGTGGGAACTGACGGATACCTCAGGTGTTCCCCTGATCAGTAAGAAAACCATGGAAAACGTGTGGGCAGTGCAGCAAAAACACCTGCCATGTATCGTGGACCCCCAGGGAGTCAACCTCTACACAATCACTGGCTACCTGGAGAAAGGTGGGAAGAGGTTGAAGGTCCTCCGATGTGCCAGAGGCTCATCGTCAGTGGAGTCATTCCACAGGCACCAATGTGCCTTCATCCCTGGTGAGTAAAGGTACCATTGAAACAGAGTACTTTCCTATATTTTATATCATACGGACTTCACTGTGCTGTATTCTATATTAGGGATATTTCCTATGCTGAATGCAGTTAAGAGACCCGCAAGAGGCCTCAAAACTAAACTGGTGTTGTATTTATGAAATATGTTTTGTCCAGAGTAATATCATTGAACATCTTTAAGTTACAATTGATCATTCAGACAGCAAATGCCCCCTTGTAGGATGGCGAGCCAACGCGTGCCATACCCAGATGTATATGATCGAGGGGGGAAGCAGGTGGAACATCAACAGGGCAAGGGAGGCAGTGCAACGACCAGTCACATCTAAGACCAGACTGTATGATGTTCGTCTAATGTCTAACATCAACACCATCAGTCAAAGGGTCTTGGGTGTGAAGCTCCTTCCAGAGTTTAGTCCACCAGGAAAGCCCACTGGTAAGGTTGTTTCATTGTGTAAATAACATTCCTCTCTATCATTAGATTCTCCAGATCTCACAAACCCATGTTGACTCTTTTCCTGCTACACAAAAGTTTCTGAAAATACCAATTAAAATTCTGTCAGTTCATTCAAGGAGCTGTACTTAGGTATCTAATGCCAAACTCATCTTCATAATTTGTGCAAGAGCTTTCTAGTGAGTTACTAAGTTCTGCTTGATATATGTTTGTACATCCCAGGGTGTAACTATGTACAATTACAAAATACTTTTAACAGGTTTTAAGTCCTTATTGATGATTATATGTTTCAGATGAGCTCATGGCCATTCAGTATCTGCTGGCCCAGTCTGCTAGAGGAGACTTGACTGCATCAGTAGTAAGAGATGACGATGTTGGCAGTCTCCTCCCTGAACTAGTCTTGGAAGAGGCGGATGAAGAAGATCTACTCGATGTCACAGTGTGCTTGGCTGAGCACATATGGTCAGGAAACCAAGGTAAGATGCTTGTTCCAATAATTAAAGGTCACAAACAAAATACTAACAGACTGAAAATCTTCTTTAAGGGGCAACTAAAACTGCATATTATATTTGAATACAGTTCTACAGCAAGATTGCTTTGACTTGTGAAATAGTGTAACAAGAAGTTATTGTACGCTTTTGTTATATTGTGAAACACTGTTTTACAGTGACTGGAGTTATCGAACCTACTGCCAGTCGCAGAAAAGCTTCGGCTTCTGCGACGAGAGACCACACTGCCAGTGCTACATCCTCTGCGACGAGAGACCACACTGCCAGTGCTACATCCTCTGCGACGAGAGACCACACTGCCAGTGCTACATCCTCTGCGACGAGAGACCACACTGCCAGTGCTACATCCTCTGCAACTACCAGTCAAGATGCCCAAGTAAGAAAAGCCCATTGAATGTCTTATTTAGCAGAATATGTTCATGTACAACCGGTGTTGACCCTCAAGTTCCATTGTCAATTTCTCACAGTTACACAGTGGATTTTGGAAAAAATTTATACATTTAAATAAATAAAAGGACAGGTATAGCCAAAAAGGAGACACTCCAACTTTGTGCTGCTACATCTACAACTAACAATACCAATTTTCTGTATTAGCATGCTTAATATGCTCTCATATAGATTTGTATATAACAAGTATGGGTTTGTTTTGTTTATTCTGTATATTATAGGGGAGTCGTGATGATGCTCAAGGGGTTCCAGGGTGGGATGCTGTGGATAACCTTGCAGCCTACCTGCTGAGCCTTGACCTCTCCGCCACAGCTCTGTCAGCAGCAGAGGCAAAGAACATTGTGGCATTGTATGCCAAACTGTCTGACTGTGACAA